AGTCAGTCATGTATCAAAAAATGCATGATCACCTCCGCGTGTATCACGCATGGCACATAACTGATACTTAATATCAAGAAGAGATGGTTGAAACTCCTACGGCACATAATGAGGAAAGAGGGCTTGGAAAATTTGATACTCACAGAACAGATTGAAGACAAGGGGGACAGAAGGAAACAACGTATAATCTACCTAGCGAGATTGACATAATAGTTATTGGAAAAAGGATAAGCAATTATGGAGAGCCATAATCACCAACAACCTGAAGGGACACATAGAAGACGAATAATATATAGGTAAACTTTACTTACAGTTTGATTTTACTGAGTGTCCAATTTATACATGAGTGTGAAGATGTTATGTTTGAAACGTGTATACGACTTCTTAAATATAAGCTTGTGTCATGAAAAAATATTAGAATTCACTGAATGGAAATCATGAATGTAAGTTTCACCACGTTAGGTACTGCCGCAGTGTTTTCCGTAGCAATTAGGTTTTTATGGAGTGGAGTTGTCAGACGTAGGCCTAATTGGATTTAGATTAGCCGTGGTGAGGTCGGCGAACTGAAATAAAATATATAGAGAAATATAAGGTTATTTGCATGCCTCCCGGCGTTGGCTAGATTTTTTTTTTTTTAGTGCAATGAAGGGAGTTCTATCACAAGGTTGGAAATCACAAGATCGGGCACCTTCTCCCATCTCAAATGAGAAGAACAGATACTATGCATTCATTTCAGCCAGAATCTCAGATTATTTATTCACCTCCGCGTGGTGGCAAGAAGTGACACGAAGACTTTTTTGATTTGGGACTGTCTACGACTAATCGAAAAATTTCTCACTCCCCTACAACCCTTTTGCGCTGGCATTGATATTCCAACAACTCTCTCTCTCTCTCTCTCTCTCTTTTCGTGCAGTTAGGAATTTGGAATCCCTGGGACCAGGCGTCTTCTCCATCATATGAAGAACATATAGCATGCATTGATCCAAACCCACCCATTAAAGCAGGATATACAACAATAAGGTTTTTCAGGGTATGGGGGACATATGTACATGAGTCAAGGACACAAATTGCTCAGTCTTCGCGGCCACTGTCAAACTGGCGTCGATAATACACTGACCACACTGATCTGAGTTCAATGAGGAAGGTGTAGCCGCAAGTTTTGTAATCCCTTCTCCGATTTCATATGAGAACAGATACTACACTTTAATAATTTCTTGGTACAACCGGGGAGTTTAAAATTAATATTTGCTCAATCCCCAGCAGCCTATCCCCTAGGTAGTCCCTCTCTTTCGGGAGAGGACTGGGGTTATTACCCTGTTTCTGAGATGACTCCATTAAAGGAAGCGCCGAAAGCACTTGAGCAGGTTTTGAATGGCTTCCGATATCCTATACTAAGCTCGACCTGTTATCACGTTCTGTTACGACGTGGGCGTATTGATAAACACCTACGACACTTTGATCCCAGAAGATCGCAAGGCGAGTCGGAAATACTTATTCTATTCCCATTTAAAAGAATATATGTTTTACCGAAATCAAGTAAAGCTATGTGATTATGACGTAACTCAATCATATATGACGTTAGTTTTTTATTTATTTATTATGACGACGATGTCTCCATAAGAACATACTGTTGATTTCTTTGCAAGAGGGTTTGGTCGCATTTTGGTTTTACTTTATGAAGTAAATATTGTCGTATAGATTGTTTTTAAATAATTTAAAATGAAAGATTTATAATATCAATTGAAAATGGCTGTGAATAATTTTAAAGTCAAAACTGTGAGTAAAAAAGAATTGCTCCTATGGTTCCGCGACAATATTTCGCCGAATTTGCTTTCATTTGACGAACTTGGCAACGGCGTAGACTTCTGTCTTGGAGTGGATATGTTGTTTCCGGGAGTGATCGGAAACAGAGTTATAGAACTAACAGAGACAACAGAATATTCTAAAAGATTAAATTTCAGGCGGCTACAGACAGCGTTTAGCTCTCTGAATATCAAAGCTGATATTCCAATCGATGGATTAATTAAAGGGTCCTTTAAGGATATGTTTGCATTCGGAATTTGGTTCAAAGCGTTCTTCGAGGCCAATTGCAAATTACAACCGAAAGATCTAGATAAAATCCGGACAACGCATATGAAGAGATGGGTGCGGAGAAAAAAACAATATGAATGTCACAAGTCAAAGCTCTATTTGAAAGATGCGAAGCGACCAAGTTCTGATAGTAATGAATCCGCATCGCGAAACAAAGGTGACTGCGATTCACTGCAAAACAATTCAGAAAACAACGTCATTTCAAATACAGAGGTTTGCGAGGAGGAACCCGTCGTCAGTGTATCATTAAATCCTCCATCTGATCTGCTTCCAACTGTAGAAAGCAGCAATGAGGTAACTGTGACAGAAAAACAGACCTCCGATCAAATAACAGATATGAACAAAGACACATTTGCTGAAGAAAATAAACTAAAAACAAACGAAATATCAAACATGAAGATATCAAATGATATGCAAAAGTTCACTGGAAATTCTGACGCCGATCACAAAACAAATATTGTCGAATCGAAGACGGACACAACTGAAAACGTTGACAAGAACAGCTCCACAAATCCTGTAACTGAAGGTTCTTTAACTATAGAAAGTAATCCTTCCAGCGGAAATGATCCATCGTCAGAGAAGCTGATTCCATCTGTTATGCTTTCGGAGCAGATCAACATTGAATTGGAGAATTACAATATACACTTGAAGGAATCACTGGAAAAACTTAATAAAAAATACAGTCTTTTGTGCGGAGCTGTAAACGAAGTAAAAGAGACTTTGAACGGAATTTCAATCGACCCAATTGTCGACGAGCCAACAGAAGCTCAATTTTGTACCATCAAGAAGTGTTGCCAACATATTACAAAGGTTCTTAATGATGTGAATCTTTAAATTCAGTAAAGTTTTTCATAATCATATCCATTAGATTTTTGCATATTATTTCATTTTATAAAGTCCGATTAACGGTCGTATTTAGTCTCAATCCATCTTATATCCTATATTATCTTATATTTGGGGACACGGTAGAGTAAAACATAGCAGCCCAGCCTGAGGAATCAAATAGCCCAGTTCGAATTCCAATTAAGTTCATTACTTTCGCTCACATGCAAATACCCTTGGTAAAGGTATGAATCCAACTCTTCTCCCTCTAGCTATGGGTAAAATAGCAGGATATACTGTAGTCTTGGTTGGCCACTAGTCTAGGAGTTGGGAAACTCTGATTTCAAACCAGCCTGAAAAACGTTGGGTTCCACTAGGCTACATTTCCCAGGCAAAACCACTGCTGCTGCATCGGCAGTAGATATGGTACGCCTACGACACTAAGGTGCTTTCACGATTTTGTTTGCACAAGATATGGAACGGATAAACCTGTTAATAAATTCCGGTGTTTGGAAATGTCCGTTGAAATTTAATTAAAATCTACGTCATTACAAAAACTTAATTTTTTGCTAAATTATTTACCGAAATGCTTTAAAGGTCTGATTAATTGCTGTTGAAATATTATCAATTGTTTCACTAAAAAACACGATAATATATCTGAGCAAGAACTGTCCAATCCTCGACTCATCCATCCTTCACAGAGGTCAAATCTTTTGCGAGGCCTTGTGGGTAATGAAAGGTTTTCGACCCTACAGCCCGTTTCTCTTAGACGAAATGCGAAAAGTCTATGGATAATCTTCTCTTATTTTTATGACAAAGGTTCAGGTGAGCTACATTTCTTATTTCGGCGAGTTCAGGGCTCTGCAGCTTAGACACACCATGCCACGTACTCAGTGTCAAATCACCAACATCCATTTTGTATCTATTGATAAGTCGGGAGTGCCACTCAGCTTCTTCGCAAGAAACCACAAATTTGTGGAACAACTGACGTGAATGCCTTTGCAATCTCAGCAAACTTACTCTTTTCAAACGTATACATAAAGTTTATTTACGTTCGCCCGTCACGTCCATACAACCTCCGCATTTCAGTGACAGTCTACATTTAGTGGCTCTTGAGCCTGGCATTGAGTAATATTTACACACACAGACGCGCACACAAACCCAAAGATATATACTGTATGAACAAATAATTAAGGACGATACATACACTAATTTACACACACACACGTACGCATGCACACACACACACACACGTATATATATATATATATATATATATGTGTGTGTGTGTGTGTGTGTGTGTGTGTGTGTGTGTGTGCGTACGTGTGTGTGTGTGTGAGTGTGTGTGTCAGAGTTGCCATGAAATATAAATCAAATGGGTATATGACGGTATAAGATAAATAACAAATAAGAAACATGATGATGAACACGTGTATACGCGGGTGCACACGCACACACACACATATACACACATACACATATAAATGCAAGCAAGCCCCATACTGTATAACAATACAAACAAGGACGATACACACAAACCCCCACATATTTTATAACAAATAAGAGCGCTACACATACAGACACGCACATACTGTGTAAGAAAATAAATAATGACGCTACACACGACCCCCCATATATATATATATATATATATATATATATATATATATATATATATATATATATAACTGAATCAACTAAGCTGTCAGATACTCATACGTCGAAACCGACGGAGAGTCCATTATACATACATATATATATATATATATATATATATATATATATATATATATATATATATATATATATATACACGAGTCAGGATCAAATAGAGATGGGTAAGGACGATAAGATAAAGAATAGGAAACGTTTATCAACTTAATAGGTTTCACATTTTATTGATAAATATGTTACATTTCTATACGTTCATAACAACTGAGGTCGTCAAACGTTTTTTGCCTTGGCGATGTAATCTCGACATTGAACACTTTACCGAGTAAGGACGTGTTTGCCTTTAGGCATCTTTTCTTTCACGTATTGCTGCTTTGAGGTTTGGCAAGTTATCCATTCGTCCTCAAAACGCTAAAATGTACTGTCCTCTCTCTCTCTCTCTCTCTCTCTCTCTCTCTCTCTCTCTGTATATATATATATGTGTTATACCCACACTACATACAGTTCAAATATTTGAGGCCACCATTGGTACTTTTGTAAATTCACCCCCAAATTAGTTGTTTTGTATTTTACATAAGATAAAATTATGACATGTACATTATTATTAAGAGAAAAAAGTGAAGCATGATTTTTATTTCAAATTTTATGATGAGAAAAACAAACAAAAAGAAACATTTTATATTTAAATTTTGCTCTCGCCAAAATATCCCCCTTTAGCATTGACTGTAGGATTGATTTTCGCTATTCGTTCCAAAATTCATTCAAATTCTAAAAGTATTTTTCTCCAGTCCGTCCACTCTTCAGGGTATAACGGCAATTTGCAGGTGATATTTTTTCGTTTTTTTTTTCTTTTATGCACATTTAACACTGGTGTAAGTTTTCTTCTGTATTCTCCGTGTTTGTACCTGGAATTATTCGCCTGCGGTCATACGCCTGTTTCTGCGTTCGATCGCATAAGCACGTCTTAGACGGACGTGCGTCGTGATCATTCTGCCTAATTGTTTTTTTCGTTTTTTTTCTCTACACTTGCTCAATATCTAAATATTGTTTTTTTTATTATATAATATATATATATATATATATATATATATATATATATATATATATACATTTATCAACTATTATTTAGGACAAGGTAATCGTGATGTGAATGTATCATAACGTCATATCACTTGTTCACAATTGTTGTCAAATATAATTACCTTATAAATTATGTTTTTGATATCTTTATGTGTATGTAACAATTATGAAGGTACTACCCGTTCATCTACGTTCTAAAATAATGTTTTTTGTTTTCTTATCTCAACGCCTATTCGAAAGGAACGCGACACAAGGCCAAGTTTAAAGTAGCCTACAAGGAACCAGAGATGAAAAATAATCCCGGCTTTTCAAAAATTTCTATTTTGATGACGCCTCAGGCGCCAGGGATAACATCCTACGTCATCATGAAGAAGTGGTATTTTTTGAGAACAATCAACAAAGACTGAACTGAAATAGTTAATTTTGCGTGTCAAGTCCAAAAGACCGTGAATATAAAATAAAATAATCTGGCCTCTATAATAAATTATCTTTTCGTCAAGGTAAAAAAAGCCTAGTGTGGGTAAATCGTGCAGCTCTCTGCTGTTGACTCTTTCAATGATGAAGAAATTTGTTGCACACACACACACACACACACACACACACACACACACACACAGATATATATATATATATATATATATATATATATATATATATATATAGGTAAAAATGCGGGGGTAAGTAATCCAAGTAGATCCTAATAATATTAAAAAAAAACTAATCCATAAAAAGAGAGCTCAATATGTTTATTATAGCGCATATACATGAATTGCATAACAGTGAAACTCTATTAGCCTATTCAAATGGATATTTCGCCACCGGGATATTTTCTTGGGGCTTGCCAATGCAAATACGTTTTTTCAAAATAGAATATTTTTTTTTTTTTTGCATTGACACGCCCCAGGGAAAATATGCCGTGAGTGAAATATCTATCTGAAACGGATAACAGAGTTTCATTGTTATGTACATATATATATATATATATATATATATATATATATACACTGCGTGCCAAATTATTATCGAGATAACTGAAAATTTTGTGTGAATTGATTGGACGGTTTTTGAAATATTAGAAAAAAAGTTATTTCGATAATAATTTGGCACGCAGTGTATATCCCCCAGACGAGGCTCTGCCGAAGGGCAGAATCTTGTCTCGGAAAACTGCCTATGTTTTTATGTGGTCTCTAGGTAATTTTGCCCTAGGCTACGGGCTCGGATACCTCACTTTAAACTCGGCCTTGTGTCACATTTTGCTGCATGGGGAAGCGGGTAAATATATATATATATATATATATATATATATATATATATATATATATATATGATGAAGAAATATAGTTTAAGGTGTGCTCTATTTATGGGATAAAGTGGTCAATATCAGAGATAGAGCGTATGTAAATATAAATATAAAAGTGAATATTGATGTCAACAGTCAGAGGCGACATACTGTTTCATGCTACACGCAATCGTCATGCCGCGAGTATTGGATTTTTTCTCGACTATTTATGTAGGTCAGTGGTGCATTGTGGGTAATCCATTCTGGCGGTTATCTTGGCGGGAGTGACTTGTTTATTTATTTGGATTAATTTATTTTATTTGTTTTTTTATTTTTATTTTTTATTTTGTATATTTATTCTTTTCAGTTTTAGATGTTTTATTAACGTAGTAGAAAAAGTGTTATTTTTTTAAGTCGCTTATTTACAGGTTTATTTTGGTATGTGAAGATAATTAAAGCTATTTATTCGTGGAATTTCAGATTTATTGCCGTAGTATATTCTGTTATTTTGGCGGGGGACAGTTTTTAATATGTATATTATTTTATTTATTTATTTATTTGAATTTTTTCTTTTACTTTATTTTGCTTATTTATTTGAATTTTTTTAGTTATAACGGTTCTTTTAGAGGGAGTGATTTGTTAATTTGTCCATTTATTTGTTTATTTGGATTAATTTTTACTTGTTTTTTTTTTCTTATTTATTTACATATTTTTATTTTTTATTCACTGTATACGGTTTTCGATTTTTGTGTAACGTAAAAAATTCTTTTTTTATCGTTATACCTATTTCCTCGTCCAATTTTTGGATTGATTGTTGTAGTCTATTCTAACGGTTATTTTGACGGGATTGATTTGTTAATTTGTTTATTGTTTACTTTTTTATTCATTTAGATTTATTATTTTTACTTGTTTTTATGAATTTATTTTTATTTTTATTTATTCTATTTCGTCAATTCTAACGGGGTTGGTTTGTAAATTTGTTTTTTATTTGCTTGGGTCGCTTTATTTGTTTATATCATTTTGTTTATTTTTATTTATTCTTTTTAGTTTTCGATTTTAATGTAACGTTGTAAAAGTTTGTTTTCATGACTGCATTTTGAGACGAGCTCAGATCGTTTATTTATTAATATATTTTGGTCTGGGAAGGTAATAATAGCTATTTTCTCTTCTAAGCAATGTTTGCAAATTTTGGATTGATCATAGTAGGTTGATGATCTTTTCCTTATTTTCCATGATATTTTTGGTTTGATTTGATTTTTGTTTTGTTTTTATTTTCCCAGATATACTTAGAAAGTTTTTCGCGTATTTACTATTTGTGAAATATGTTTGTGTACATAGTTTCTTTGTTTCCAGGGTCCTTCAGTTACTCCTATGTATATTTCTGGTGATTTTACTGCAGCCGATTTTTACAGTGTTTTTATTGAATATTTTGTGTAGAGTGCTTGATTCCGGGAAGTGTTTGTTGGATAGTATGAAGAATGTTTTAACTACGGTTGTTTTTTTTAAGTTTTTATTATACGTTGTGTTGAACCATATGATATTTCTCTTCCTGTTGGGCTTTTTGTGCTCTGTGGTGAGTTTGTGAGTGTTGCCGGGAATCCAATATCTTTCAGGGCTGTTTCATAGTCTTTCTTAGCTTCGTTAAATATGGTTTCATTGGAAGAATTGTCGGAAAGCCTGTGCTTAATCGATTTTGGTATCTGATTATTGAAGGCGTGTGATTGGAAGATGTGTGTACCTACAGTGGTTTATCATTGGGGTTTTGTCCTAATTTGTTCTTTACCATTTCTTTGTATTAGGATAAAAATTCCTTGCATTAATCGTTAAACCTTTTCCTTAAATAGTAAACACAGTACTATTTTCAATAAAATACCCTAGTACTAAGTTACAGCTGTACTGAAAACTTAGAAAAATTAAGAAACATAATGCTAATATCATGAATAAGCACTTAGACCAAGATCAAAGAAAGGTAGACTGTATATTAATTAAAAAAAATGACGATAAACAAAAATTATATAACTGCAGAAATCCTGATAAGTTTCCACTTAATAATAAATGTCGCACTGAATAATTAGTATACCAATGTATTATCTCATCTATTGAGGATCAAGACAATGTAAAAGTTTATATTGGATGCACAAGACATGAGTTAAAAAAAACGGTTCAAACAACATTAAAGTTTTTTTAGGATAAATAAATACCGAAATCAAAGGTCCCTATCGAAATATTTCTGGCATTAAAAGAAACCAATAAAACACTTACTGTGAAATGGAAATTAATGAGAAAAGCTAGAATATGTAGGTCATTAAATGACCCATGTCCTTTGTGCATACATGAGAAACTAGGTTTTAAAAAATGAAAAATTACTTAATCAAAAAATGAAGTAGCTATTCTTTGCCGACATTGTCAATATTTTTTTCTTTAAGTAATATTTAATTAAAAAAAACAGATAAATGAAAAATACATATTATATTTGATACTAATTTTTAAATAATTTAAGTAATTCTATTACATTTATTTGTTTTAAAATATGTATAGTCTATTAGTAATTAAAGTTGAGAATAATTGTAATTCAATAAGACGTATTCATATATAAACATCCCTTTTAGAAAAAATCTTTATGTATACAAGTAGAAATTTAACGGCGAAACAAACGTTGAAAAAAGGCCAGATGACATGCGTTGAACGGATGTCATCATTCGTTGGAAAAGGCACCCCTACCATAACTTGACTTAACCTCTTTTCGAAAGTAACTTATATTTTGATACAATACTTGTCAGTGAAAGTGAATACCTACCGCCCCTTGTTAAAATGAATGGAGTTCTCCATATGCTTAGAAACTAATATTATGAATGTATGTGCTTATACTCATTACATTTTAAAATTAGTTATTCCAAAATTCGCTTGAAAATGAAACAGAACTAGGAACTTTAATTTAATTCTATAATTTAATTTGAAGTGTTTAGCTTCTGTTTTTGAAACATAGTTATTCTGGTAAAATGATCGAACCATACTTTAAAAAATTAATATATATATATATATATATATATATATATATATATATATATATATATATATATATATCAGCTTTTATATTGGACCATGCAAGTTACCTCGACAAAAAGCATATATGTTTCGATGTCTAATTAGAACATCTCATCAGGTGGTAGACATGAATTTTTGTCGTGGTAACTTGCGTTGTTTTTAATTTAATCATACATTATTCTTATATTTTCTTGTTTATTATAATATTTAGTTATGTTATTCATTTACAGTATCAAATATGTGTATTTTATAATATTTTTGTACATGTTTTTTCATCTTTTTATGTTTATTTTTCTTTTTCCTTTTTTTATTTTAAAACGATTTTGTTTCCAAAGGAAAATTTCTCGCTAAGATTTACACATATTAAGAACATTGAATGTATTGTATTTGTTTGATTAATTATATAGTTGCATGAATAATTTTAACCTATTTATATTTTATATCTACGCGTAACATTTATTTCTCTGCTGTTGTTTTTAGAATTTTCGGAAAGCTTTTTTGTAATATTTATTTTGCTTATCTTTAGTGGCTGATTATCGTCTATTTTTTTTAATCTATATTATTTATATTCAAAGAACCATTTACAACATTTTCTATGAATTTTATTTCTTTACATTTTCTTATTTGTTAATTGCAAATTAACTCAATTTCAATTTTATTGAAAATGCGTTCCCAGTTATAACGTTATTTTCTTTCATTTTTACTACTAGTCAATTTTTTATTATTATTTATTTTTCAACTGTTTTAAAAACAACAGCAATAATAATAATAATAATAATAAATATTATCATATAAGTTGATAATAATTTTATACTTTTTCATTATTATTATAGTATAGTGATATATTATTGGCACATTTGATGGATTGTTTATTCCGACATCCAGTAATATATATATATATATATATATATATATATATATATATATATGTGTGTGTGTGTGTGTGTGTGTGTGTGTGTGTGTGTGTGTCATGAAGAACTTGGTAATCCGTATGGGTAATCCCAAGGAGGATAAAATCTTGAGAGCTCAATGTAAATCCAGAGCTAATATTTAAAAGAAAAACATACCACTTTAAGGTACCATGATAATAATTTATTTCACTAGAGCCCTTTTAAAGGACGCCAGATCATCAGATAGCCTTTCCAAAAATAAAACGAAAAATGAAATTAAAATTGATGGGTATTGTAAGTTTTTGTAATTTAACAGAGAGTGTAAGAGGGATAGTTAAATAGACATGGTAGAGTATAGGGAGGGATTAATTTCATATCTCTCTCAAGTATACTTTATTTTGTAGGAGAGGAGTGACCCGACCTTGACCTATTTAGATGGTTGACTTAACGGAAGTGATATATTGAAATGGAAGGCGAGTAGGGAGAAAAGAAAAAGGAAAAAAGAAAGAAGAGGGGGAGGGAGAGGGAAGTAAAGAGAAAGAAGCTGTAATTGGGTTTTAGTAATTTATGTAAAGAATAGATTTTAATGCTTGATAGAAATTTACATATCTAAAAAATTTGATGTTTGCTATCAATTTAAATATTTAATTTTTTAAAACAAAAAAGTTTAGGGACTTAATATAAGTTAAATACTATATTTATTAACACATTTATAGAGAACATATTAAAAAAATATTTAAAATTATAATAGTTTGTTTACCCGACCAATCGTACATTTTTAATATTTTAAAAATAGTTACGTAACATCTTTATTAGTTTTACTTTTAATCTAATTTATGAATGCAATTTGTCATTATTTTTATATGGGTATCAAAGGACTCTGGTGAAATAAATTGTTATAATGGTACCTTAATTTGGTCTGTTATTCTTTTATATATATATATATATATATATATATATATATATATATATATATATATATATATGTGTGTGTGTGTGTGTGTGTGTGTGTGTGTGTGTGTGTGTGTGTGTTTTATGCGTGTAAAGGGAAGTGGCAGAAGTAGTACCTTTGTTGCTCATTTTATTATTAAGGGTGACGGAAAACACTGGTCTTCACACATCCCCCTGTTAGGGTCCCAGCTATGGCAAATAGTTAATCTCCAAAGTGGGTTTCTGGTGGTCCTAGCTATGTCGGGTAGATGGCGTTCGACAGCCTGTGAAGTCAGTTCACCTGGGGGAAGGAAAAACCTTATTTCAAACCTCCGCTGCCTTGCGGCTGTATCCAGTTATAGAAAAGGCTTCAGGAGTAAACCTCGAAGAAAAATCTGTAGATGGAATCCCTAAGACGGTTCGCTGTTGTACTCAACCCGTTTTGGGAGCTCCAGCGACGGCACCAGTCCCAAACTGTAGCAACCATATCATTCCTTTGGCCTAACCGGTGACATGGAGATGGGGACGTGTTACATGGGCAACAGCCTATCCTCCACATCACATCGCCAATGTCTGCATCCGGCCACACCACACTGCAGCAAAACACCTTGCACTACACCTGAAGAGGACACTCCAGCTTCGCCTTTGACGTTGACACAACACGGAAAACAGTAGTTACCGATTATAAGCTGCCACTCGATTGGGGTAGAACACAGCGCCGGGGATCTTTCTCGTCGGTGGAAGATATTTTGGATCTCACTGAACAGCTACCGCCCGCCTCAGGCTGGGCAGCCACAAGCCAGTAATGTGTCGACCTGCTACGGTCTGCCTTCTTCATTAGGGGCATGGAGATTAGTAGACATCCGACATGCAGACTGCAAACTTCGAACCATGCAATAACAAGAATTTACAAATTGGAAGGTCTGGACTATGCTGACGGGCCACTCTGACGATCCCCAGGACATCAGTAACTCCATGAAACTACCGTTATCAACGGCGAGCTCAAAGGTTTCATGTAGACATCGCCACTCTACAGGAAACACGTCTGGCTGACACTGGATCGCTGATGGAGAAGGACTACACATTCTTCTGGCATAGGAAGAGCTCTAACGAACCACGCCAACGCGGAGTTGGCTTCACAGTGAGGAACAGCCTGCTGAATACGGAAGAACCAGGCAGAAACGGCTCCGAGAGACTCCTTACTCTCCGCCTCAACACCACCACAAGCCCTGTCACCCTCGTTAGCGTGTATGCTCTGACACACTCTGCCACACCGGACACCAAGGACGAGTTTTTATGACAAACTGGCAACCACCAACAGTAGTATACTTAGAAAGGAACAACTTGTTATCACAGACGACTTTAACGCCAGAGGGGGTGCTGATCATGACTCTTGACCTTCGTGCCTTGGACAGTTTGGCGTCGGCAAGATGAAAGACAACGGCCAGAGACTGCTCGAGCTATGCACTTACCACAACTTGAGCACAGTCAACTCCTTCTTCAGGACAAAGCCCCAGCACAAGGTCTCCTGGAGACATCTACACTCAAAGCACTGGTACCAGCTGGATCTCATACTTGTCAGATGCACCGCCATTAAGTACGCTCTTCCCATACGTTCTTACCACGGCGCGGAATGCGATACAGACCACTCCTTGGTTGTACTGCAAGATCAAGCTGCAGCCCAAGACGTTCCACTGAGGCAAGAAACGGGAGAATCCTCTCACTGATGTCAGCAGGATCAACTAGCCAGACCTTGTGCAGCAGTTTGTCAAGAGGTTTGAGAAAGAGCGAGCAATCTCGCAGACCGGAGACTGCCTGCCTGCCACGGTGATCTGGGTAACTTTGCGGGACATTATGCACCACACTGCCTTGGTCACCTTTGGGAGAAAGACCTCAAAGTCGTGACTGCTTTCAGGCAAAGTCCGCCGAGATGAATCCTGTATAGTGACTAAGCGCGCCGCTCTTACAGAATAGAAGCGGTCACTCAGCAAAAGAAACCTGCAGATCATCCGAGCTGCCAGGAGCAAAGCTCATCAAACTTACGGATGCTGCGCCATCGTGTACTGGACCGAGCTTAGTGAAACCATCCAGACAGCAGCAATTACAAGGAACATCAGAGGGATGTAGGATGGCATCAGTATGGAAATGGGACCAATGTAGACAGCTCCTCTCAAATCCACCACAGGGGAAGTCATCGTAGACAAGGGGCTACAGATGGAGAGGAGGTTGGAACACTATTCCGACCTCGACTCCAGGCAGAATGTTGTGACGACCGCAACCCTTGATGCCATTGAGTGCCTGCCAATCATGGAGGACTTCGATACCGAATCGACCATTAAAAAAGCTTAGCAAGACCATTAAATGCTTGGCCTCAGGGAAGGCCCTTAGCAGTGACGGGTAAAACCAACTGATCGAGCACTGAATGACTGCTCTACTGCTCTCATTACGCGAGGTCCTCTACCAGTGCTGGAAAAAAGGAACTGTACCTCATGACATGAGAGATGCCAAGATCATCCTCCTCTGTAAGTACAGATCGCCACATCCCCATAGACTTCTTGTATGGAGTGCTGGCCTCTGTATTGAGACCCGCTGGGCGGCCACAGCTACGGTAGAGCAATGTAGTGAGACGCGACATGAAAGCTGCGGACACCAACACAGAGTCCTGGGAGAGCATGGCAGCCATAAAATCCGAATGGAGAGGAACCCTGACCAAACACCTCAAGTCAGGGGAGGAGAAGCTGATACAAGTTGCCACGGAAAGGCGGACCCACAGAAAGCAAATTGATATCTCCAAAAGACCAGAGACAGAAAACACACGACACAAGAGATTGTCACTCTAGCATCGAACTCTACAGTGGCAGATGTCGATGCTCCAGCCAAGCAGACAACTTGGATGCTACCCATGGTCAACCGTGACCGACGGGGCCTACACAAACTTCCATGTTCCAATGTAAAGTTTTAATATATATATATATATATATATATATATATATATATATATATATATTCTCTGGCTTTGGCAGACCGAGTAGTAAAAATTATATATTTCCCAAGTGCGTTCAGCAAGCAGTACGTTTCCTTCTAGTGGAAGTTACGGTTTTACCTGGGACCTGATATATTGCCACAGGGAGACGTTCAAATAAGCTTGAGTAGTTTTTGTCCTTTTTCCATATACGCGTAGATTACATTCCACTTCAAAACTCTATCTTTTGCCATGTTCTGCTCAAGCAGATTTGCGTTCAAATACCTACTTCCCAACTTCCTTACCTACCTACATACAAGATCATACATCTGAACATAATACTGCTCATCCCTTAGCTCTTTAGCGGGTACGTACGTTACGTTCTGCCAATATCACAAGAATAATTTCGTTTGGGTCGCGTGGAAAAAGAGGAGAATTATATGAGGGACGCTACTTGGTTTCAATGAGAAAATGAAAATTAATAAAGAAAGAAACGCCCTGCTAATACCTCATAAACAATGATCTGTTCCATTTTGATAGCTAGTAAACACGAAAAATATATATTAGAGTCGTTGCATGATTTAAGTGAAAGAAACAATATAATATATAAAAGAAAAAATAAGTTGGTTGACCACTTCTCGCTTCTCGATCTTCAAAGTCACTCTATATATTCACTGGTAAAAAAAAAGAGTCGAAAACAAAACAGAATTATTTTTACATTTCTCCTAAATATATATCATCTTTAACTGGCCTATAAATTTTGATACGTCGTAAAACCAAATCAAGCTAAATCCTTATCACCGTTTTAGAATTCATTAATGTAACATTCTGATTTTTTAAAATGCATTTGAGCTAGGTTGACATCTCTCCTCTCACTCCAACCTGTTTTGAGTCTCAGAAAGATTTATATGTTGAGAAAATTAGACTTTTGTTCAAGATAAGTTTTAGACCAACTATGAACACCTATGTCATCAGCATTACTCTTTCTCATTGTCGTTACTCTGGTCTCTAGATAATAACAAGATAGGGTGCCAATTCCTTTGTGTTGTCGTACAGTATATTTAAATGTTCTAGACAGATTTACTTACATCTGTGCTTATAACCACGCAAAGCCTAGTATAAGAAAAGTATAAATAAATTGCTACACGGATTTTCTCTTTTCACTACTGACGAAGATTGAAATGAATCGGTATTTGCTAGATAGATAGACAGAGACAGATAGAATGTGTTAATGAGATTTCTGTAAATATTTTCACATCTTTCCGAAAAAATCTTTCATCAAATGAGTAGAATCAGGCTATGATGTGAAACTGATAGAAACCTTCCTTCTCAACAAAACATGACCTTGTTTAACACACAGCGAAAGGAAAAAAAAATCAGCATATGCGGATTTTTTGTATGTGGTTTTTAGTATCACCTAGTGTCGAAATTTTTATTATCTAAAAACCTCGTTTGTGATGAATTTCGCTATTTAGCATTTGTTTTTCTTATGCGTGTGGATATGACTAAGTTAAAGGATAAACATTTTACATATGTTTCAAAGAGCCTTACTAACGCTTGTGTGCGTGTTTGTGTGTGTCTGAATGTGTCTCTGTGTGTGTTTGGGCGCACATAGATGTTAATCGTTACACCTGATTGTTTTATGATCCTTCTACGATTTATCTGACCGGCCTTTTATATGATTATGCGAACGTTTATATTTGCTTACATATTCTTACGTTTATACTCCCACATACATGAGGGCGAGCAAATAGGTATAGGCGATTGTGTGTCACACGACAAAAAAAAAAAAAAGACTGTATTTCGAATGAGTGAAAATTTCTCCTGAGAAAACTGTATGTTTTATCAAGAAAATCTGTTCGTAAATGGATTGGCTCTACAAGAATAGAAAATGATGGAGCTGAAGAAAGTTTTAAGTACTGCGTTCACAAGTAGATAATGTTTTTATCTTTTTGGATTAACAAGTGTCATTCTGATCAATTTTGATTTTACATAACAACTTGTATCTTTTAGTTTCCGAATTAACGATATGTGACAATTATTAAACTCTTTACCGGGAAGTGAAAAGACGATTAAAAATCCAAAGGCGTATAGCGAAAATTATCTTCTAAATGCTAAGCAAACTATAAAAGAGATATCATTAGGAAAAAATAAAAGACGAAGTTACTTAAACCCTGCGCAAAATTTGATCTCCAGTATGATAGGAAATGTTTGAATGCCTTTCTCAGTACATGATTTCGAATCAAATCTATCTCGAACAAAATTCTAATCATTATTTGTTTACAACACTATAATATTTCTTAGTAAGAAAAAAAAAACGCAGAAGAGATTTAAGTCGATTCATAAAAAATCTTTTTTTGTAAAAACCAATTGTAAAGCCGAATGTCTTAACATCAATAACAATTCCTTAAATATATCATAGCAGGTGATAAATATGGGTTACTTACGAACATCGGAAAATGTACAGGAGTGAGAAGGATAAATCTCTACAACAGACACCAAAACTGAGCTCAATTAAAGAAAGATACCGCGTTCGGTGGGATCGACGACATATTATTCTCTTCGAGTTCTAAAAGCGTAAGCAATGCTAAATGTACATTTATATATCGAGCAACTGCAATGCGTTTATAAAGTTTTTGTCGAAAAGTCACCTGGGTATTTCAAAAAGAAAAATGTAACTCTCTTCTATGACAAAGGAAGGCCGTATGCAGAAAGAATAACTCGAGAAAATATAAAATTTTAAAAGATTTAAACATTTATAAATTATTATAATTACAATAAAAAATTAAAAACAATTCTAATAAAAAGTCATTATTTATCGAAATGTTATTTCTTAAGAGAAAAGTGTCCATAAAATATCTTATTCCTGAAAGCAAATATTGTTCCTACTTAATGTCTTGTGATTCTTATTTTACGATTCAACGCAGATTTTCGCTAAGTGTGGGTTCTGTATTATAAAAAAGCAGATTTAAATTCTCCAATGATATCTGCTTATAACTAATATAAACATTAAGCCCTTCAAACATGAATTTTGCTATATTTCCTAAAAGCAAATCAGTGGAATGATAACATATGTAAAAAATTACCAACATTTTCTAAGAAAAGAATCATTTATGGAATTATTTCATTCTTTTGTGAATGTGATAAACATTGTTTTAAATACTACAAATATACGATTTTTGCAAAAATTTTCAGATCAATGCGTTTTTCAACGCAAAACGATGCATAAATTTCTCAATGCTAAATCACCTGCTGACACACAAAAAATAACCAAATTTGTAAGGTTATAATATGGATTGAAATAGATACCCCCAATAAAAAAGGTACCTATGGTTTGAAATGGAGTTTTGAAAAATGAAAAATCTTACCTGAAGCTTTTATTTTAGTTTAAATTTCAAGTTGATAGATAAATTTTATATTTACAATAAACAAAATAATTATATTGACTGGAAGGATTTTTTATTTTTTACTGAAATAAGAGATTAGCGGCCTTTTCTAGTCGTCTTTCAGTGCAATGTAATTCTCTTTATTAAAAATCTTCCAAAAATAAAATATACTCTTCGGAAAATTTATTTGAGAAATTTTAGCTGGTTTTAACTATAATTAATTTCATTTGAAAGAAATATTATCTGCTTTAAGTTTAAAATATCGCAGCATTGTATTATTTAGCCCGGTACTAGCTAAACCTAAAAGTAGATGTTTTATTGTGTTGACAGCCTGATGACAGGTTTAATGTCATTCTATGGAGACTATATCTTTAAAACA